ATCTCTTCAATTTTCTTCTTCTTCAACTGACCCTCCAGCCTTTGGATATTAAATGTTAGAACTTTCATTGATGACTAGTGACAACCCCTCGTTACATGTCTCTCACATATCCTTGACCTCTATCTCAACTACTTTATTAATCACCTCTGTAGAATTCATGTGTACCACCAGCCCACATCTTCTCCAATTTGCAATATTTTTTTTTGCTAATTCCCTCTTTTCCTTACCTGAAACTGGCCTCACCTGGAAAATAGAAATAGTCTCGATTCAATGCCGATGCTGCAATATGTCCCAAACATTTAGCCCAAGCTTCGATCCCCTCGTAGAATTATTTTTCATGGATTTAGACCGTGTCCTGAACTTGGAGTAGTGCTTCTTCTTCCTCACTTTGCGAAGCGCACTCTTAATATTAATTCTTTCCTACACCACCACCTCGACAACATCATTGGATTGAAGGTATTCTAATCTTTGATTCAATATGTGATTAGTCTCGTCTAATCCATGGGAAGACCTAATAATCATCCCATCAAGTTAACCAACAAACTCTTTTTGTGTAACATCTTTACCTGTTTTTGTCCCTTATCAATAACACTTGCCATAACCTGTCATCGTCTCCCATGTCCCACCAATTTTCCTTATAAATTTTCATCAACCCAGGTTTATCTCGATCAACCTTTTTTTCTAACGCATCTTCACCCAACCCCACAACAACGACCTTATTATTGATAAATCATTTTTGCCGTTTAAAGTCAATGAATTCCTTCTCATTTGCATCTTAGTTACTTCCTCTATAGAATTTGATTCTGTACTTTCAAACTCCTCCTGCCTTTGTGCAATGTCAGGCACAGAATCATGCGAATTTTCTCCTTAATAATCCGCCCTTTATTCCGCCTCCTTTGAGTTCTCCACATAATCTTTAGTCACTTTTTTTCCTATTGCACTTTCTGTCGTTAGATCACAACCCTTTCCACCATCATCTAAACTATCATCCTCTAGAGCGTCCAAATCCAAAGTGGCATAATCAAAATTCTCCAACGATTAAATATCTAAATTATGAGACCACCACCCTCCATGAAAGAATTCTCCCCCGTGTTCCTCAACCGTTATGATTGAGAAGACAAGATTATTAACCTAAATTCTTAGATCCTTGTTAATCAGTGCATATGTTTGAGTCCATAGGTGAACTCTTGCAAAATCCATACATCTTCGTGAAGTTGTATCAATGTCCATGCACACAAAATCTCTCTGCAATGACACCATCTTATGAAAGAACGCCTCTAACCAAGCATGATATAGCATGTCATACAAATGAATTCACGTTTTCCTATTAACAACTACCATACGAGGATGCCACCAATCAATGGCATAAAACAACATAGATAAAACCTTCCTTATGCTTAACTATAACCTTCCTTAGATCCGTTGGACCCTTTGATTCTAGCAAAACCATATCGTCGCCTATGATAACAGTCTTGACATTCAATATGAATTCTCGTAAAAGGAAGTCAACCACACTATCAATATCTTTTGGTCAATGTAATCTTCCTACCATTGCCTTGCAATACTTCTCAATTGTATCTGGTCTCGATCAACATGGAACTCATTGTGACACCCTGGTTATTTCTTATGTACCCACACTGCATTCCTGTTTGGACATCCAATAGTACCTTCCCCTTTCACAATATTCACATACCTTAGCGCACTGGCACCACCTCTCCCCTCCCTCTTGGTCCCAATGCTGGTCATAAGTTCACCCCCTTCTCACGCACCACATCATGAGTTTGTCCCTTAGTATCATGTTTATTGCTAATTCTGCTATGTCGGGACACATTCACCATCATTTATATGTTGCCTATCGTTATGAAACTCAGCCTCTTTTCTATATCGTGGACATCCCCAACCTCAGTAAACTGCACGAACCCAAATTAGCGTCCTTGTTTATCTCGTTTCTTTGGAATAAACAAATCAATAATCTTCTTGTACCTCTGAAATATGTCCCACAATGTTGACACTCCACGACTCTCCAAAAAATTTGTAAAGAAATATGTTGGTAACATCTGTATATAACTGATGTAGCCAACACAGTTTTGCTTGATTTCCTCTTTTTAGTTGTCACAAGCATCCACCCAACATGCATTTCTGCTCCTCTTTCACATCCTTTCATTCTCATTTATCAGTGAAACCTCTTTCACATCCTTTCATTCTCATTTATCAGTGAAATTCAAAGAATGTCAAATCTGCACACCACAACATTGTTATTCAATGAATGTTATTTTGGATGATATTTTTTTAATAAAAATACTAAAATCAAATTGTATTTATTCATTGCATTGGAAAAAAGGCTATTATTGCCTACTCTACTAAGAGACAAAATTCCTAAAATCTAAAAAAAAAAAATCTATAACAAATGATCATATGACAAATCAACATAATAAACAACTACTATATAAAATTTAAAATAAAGCAGAGGATAAAAGATTAAAATTCAGTTGGTTTAAATAAATTATATATTATATTTTTATTTATTATTAAATAACATTTTGAACTAAGATTGTTACTTAATTTAAATAATTAAATGCAATTAAATTTATATATCAATTAACGACTAAAATTATACCTAAATTTAAATAAAATAAATAATAATATACTTAAAGTTAAAAAATATTAAAATCGGTGGATCACATCACGCGTGTCCGCGCGACTATATTATAATCAAAAGGTATTCATGCGGCGTCCATTCCGAACTATAGTGACGCGGCAAAGGGACAATGATCATCTGCAATGCAGTATTACGTTGCACTACGTCCAGAAATAATTACGACAGTCTATTACAATAAAATGTTACAGTTGTGATGCGATCCTCTCATAAATTCACGCAGTTGGTGGATTAATCTTATAAATTAATTTAATATTTCGTTAGTATTTTTGTTTTCGTGGATCAGCAGCCAGCTGTATTGCTGATAGGTTAATTATTATTACTAATTTTTATGATAGGTTAATTAAGTGTGTGTGTGTTTGAACTGTTACTAACGTGATTTTATAGAATTGAATTGGAACAAAAAAGCATCGAATCTTGGGATATTCTCGTTCAATCACAACCTTGTATGCATATTTGGTGCCTTTTTTTATTACACGTTCTCAACGTGTAATCGATTTGCACCAACCAATCCAACGGCTGTGATTGATTTGGCCTGAAGTCGAAACACTGAACGGTTTGAGATTCTTTTCAATTCAGAATAGGTAAGTTGTCTTAATAATTGCAACTGAAAAAGGGTATTTTGGGTAGGTGGAAGCAACATTGATACAGATATATGAGTGTCGTCTATTATATTTGGTTAGTGTAAAAAAAAATATGTGAGCCATAAATTTAAAAGATACTATTATACTTTTTTAAAAAAAAAATACTAATGTCCTAATTTTAGAGGTGCAGAAGGTAAATTTTTAAAGATAAAAATATTTTTTATAATTTTTTAAAATTACATAAACTACTTTCACAAAATTTTTATATTTAAATATACTATAAAATGCAATACATTACGTCTTATTTTCACTTTCAAACATAATATACAAACATAAATATTAGTGTTTTTCTTTTTTATTATCTCGGTGTCTTTGGTTTTTATATTTAAAACGGTATCTAAATGCTATCTATATTCACGAATTCATCATCAACCAGTGAAATATATGAGACAAATTAAATATTAATTTAAGTAAAAAATTAGAAAAGAGAATAATTGCTTCTATTATCGCCTCATTACACTCTACTTGAACCCCATTCTTTAACAGGTAAAAAAATCATTGAGTTTTCTTGCATAAAATATGGCTTAAATAAGTATGAAATTGCCTTAAAATTCAGTTTAATGCACGCGCATCTCGAGGATCACACACGGTGTGGCTAAAATTGTTTTTTTTTTCTTTCTACTTTTTGAAGATTTGTATATCAATTGAACTTTTTTCACAGTATCACGTGGTGGAATATTGCCCACTATTGAAATATGTAAAAACAGATCTTTTCTTTTTTATTATTTATAAAAAAGAATAAATATTCAAATTTTTAAGCCATATTTTTTATTCATATTTTTTTATAAACATATTATTATATTATTTATGTTTTTTATAAAAAATATAAATAAAAAATATAAAAGACAATAATATTATTTATATAATTAATTTTTTATTACTTTTTTTTAATATTAAACATTTAAATAAAGTAAAGGTTTAACTTTTTTTTCTTTTCCATCTTTTTCTTTCAACTTCTTTCTTTTTCTTTTCTTTCAAACTTTTTCAAACTTTTAAATAAAGTCAAATATTTTGATATCAATTAACTTTAGAAGGTTTCATCCAATTGAATAAATCTACACGCATGTAGTGGTGGTTTACTTTTAAATTTTAGTGAGTTAAAATAATAATTCACTTTATGTTTTAAATTTTTAATACATTATTTTATATTATTTTACAACTTAAGAAGATTGAAAATTTATTATTATTTTACGAATTTTGCTGAATAATACTTAAGGATATTGATTAATAAATAATATTTTTAATTGAAATTTATAATGTGATGTGTTGAGAAAACATAATTATATAAATTTTTAATCAAAAATTATTTTAGAGCCACAAATTACTATTAATATCTATTATTATGTTCATGATTTTAAAAGGTTATGTTTTACGTTTTTTAAATTGATAAGTATAACTGTTTTAATATTTTAAAAATTAAAAAATATTTATGTCATTTTAAAATTAAACTTAATTTTAATTATTTATTATACATATTTAGTATAATATTAATAATAATTATTTTAAGTATATTAAAATCGTTGAATTTTCTCTTATTCTTCTACAGTTCACCGTCCCGGCCGTTACCGTTATTATTTTGCTTTCCTTTATTCATGATAGATAGATGATAGTGCCTATATAAACTTGCGTCGCCTCCTCTCATCTGCAAGCAGTTAAGGGGTAACACAAAAGAACCCTTCACTTCAGAGAGAAAGAGAAACAGAAAACAACACGGAATGGGAGAAGTGCAGCAAATAGTGGAAATGAAGAAGGAAGTGACAAACAATACAACAACAAGGTCTGAAAGCAAAGCAAGGCTTGCGATTTTGGAACTAGCTCACATGATGAGTGTTCCAATGTCCCTAAACGCTATCTTACACCTCAAAGTCCCCGAGGCCATGTGGCAAGACGGTTCCAATACTCCTCTCTCCGCCTCCCAAATTCTCTCAATCATTCGTCCCCACGGCGGCGCCGACGCGGAGAACCTCCAACGCATCCTCCGCTTGCTCACAAGCTACGACATATTTGACGAGCACTTGTGCAGCAGTGGCCAAAGGAAATACTCTCTCTCCGAAATCGGAAAGACCCTCGTTGACGATGAACAGGGCCTATCCTATGCTTATTACATGCTCCAGCACCATCAGGTTATTTTTTTACTTTTCATCGCAATTTTTCGCGTTTCTTATCATAATTCAGCAATGTGAATGTTGAATACATATACATCTACTTGTACTCGTGCTTATATTCATGTTCGGTCCATTATCACCCGGTAACATTGATGTGTCAAGCACATTATGCGCTCCTGATATGGATAAATTGTGAAATTAAAACACTCATAATTTAATAATTTTTTATAAAATTAAGTTTAACTGATTCAACTGTTCAATTATTTTAAACATTAATTTTTTAATTATGTATAACAAATTTTATATAATTTAAATATTTATACATAAATTATTTAAATTTAATATTTATTTATATTTTAAAGATATATTATTGTTTAAAATAAAATATTACAATTTTTTTTATTATAAATTTTATAAAATTAATTTATTTGATAACAATATTTAAATAATAATCTAATTAATCTATCTTTAGATAAGATAAATGTCCAAGTTTAATACTTATATTATTGTATCGATAAATCATTATATTTATATATAAATATGTAATTTTAGGCTTAATTAAAATTCAACACAATCACGCACTTAAATATGGTAAGTGAGTCTATTATTAAATTTTTTTTATATACATAAGAACTTAAACTTGAAAACTTAGTTAAATGATACTAAACTGTTTGTTACGGATCAACTTCTATTTAAACTTAATAACTTTTTTATAATTTAAAATTATTAAGTTTTCATAAATTGAAAATGAAATTAAAATATTTTTAATTATATAAAAATTATTACTATTCGGTCTTATTTCAAATTTATAATAAATTTGTTTATAATTTTTTATTAATTTTTCAAAAAAATATTTATAATAGAAAAAATCTTGAAACTAATAATAGTAAAAACTATCATCAGATTTTCATAGTTAAGGACAATTTATAAATAGTAGCTAATATATATCCACGATTTTTTTTAATCTTAAATAAACTAAATCGGTATTGAAAATTTAATAAAAAAAAATACAACAGAAGATCTATTGTTAACAGTGGTTGTATAATTTGATTTTAAATTTAATTAAAATAAATTATAAAATAAAATATCATTATTTGTAAAACATTTTTATCGTAAATTTTTTTAAAAAAATTGTTAGAATAATTTTTTCATAAAATAAAGATATCCAATTTTAAAATCAGCTCAAGATGTAATAGATAAAATTAGTTATATATATTTAGATAAATTTAATGATTATTTTATATGAGATATTAATCCTATTATATATGATCTTGACTCTGATTTTTCGATGCATACTGTCACATCTACTGACAAAACACACTTCAAACAGCATATTAAAAAACATGTGGTGTCAATAATTATGTTATGTACAACATATCTATTGCACGTTACCTCTTCCATTGTCTTTTATCTGGGACCGCTTTTCAAAAAAGAAGCTTTCCTTTTGTTAGAAATTTTTTTTAAAGATATTTATTATTATTTTACTACAATTGTTTTTTTTTTTTATAAAATTTTAATTATTTCTTATATTTATTATAATACAAATAATTAATTGTCATAAAATTTTAAAAATATAAATCACTAATATTAATTTTGATTTATCTAATTTATTACAGATTAGATCTTAAAAAAATTGAAATGACTAATTCTAAGTATGTCTTAAATAGTAAAAAAAATTAGATTGAAGGGGGAAGTGATTGTGTTGTGTTTGCACAGGATGCGCTGATGCGAGCATGGCCGTTGGTGGGGGAGGCAGTGGTGGATCCAACGACGGAACCATTCGTGAAGGCAAACGGAGAGGGAGCGATAGGGTACTACACGAAGCGAGGAGATGTAGTGGGTTTGCTTTACAAGGCAATGGCTGGGATGGCTGGGCCATTGATGAGGGAAATTCTTCAAGTCTACGATGGCTTCGAAGGCGTAGAGACACTCGTTGATGTTGGTGGCAACACGGGTGTTTCTCTTCGCATGATTATGGACAGCTTCCCCAACATCCGCAAAGGTATCAACTTCGATCTTCCCGACATGGTGGCCCGCGCAGCCCCCATTCCAGGTGCCTTTCTCTCTCCCAATCAATCCTTTTTAGCGTAGCTTTTACTTTTCTAAGATCCAAAGTAAATACATCTTCAACATTATACGTATCTAGGTATAACCCATGTTGGCGGTGACGCTTTGGAATATGTCCCCCCTGGGGATGCTGTCTTCATCAAGGTGCCGCTTCTCTATTTCAATGTCTATAAACCCTACTCCAACGTTCTCCAATCCAATGATCAAAATTGATAATGTTTGAACTTGCAGTGGGTGTTCTTATCATGGACGGATGCGGAAAGCAAGCTGGCTATGGAGAACTGCCACAAGGCACTTCCGATGGACGGAAAATTGATTATATGCGAACCGGTGGCGCCGGAGCTGACGGACGAGAGTCGCAGAACGAGAGCATTGCTTGGGGGTGACATATTCGTAATGACAATGTATAGAACGAAGGGGAAGCACAGAACTGAAGAGCAATTCAGACAAATCGGCATTTCTGCTGGTTTTTCTCGTTTCCGTGCCCTCTACATTGATCCTTATTTGACCGTCCTTGAGTTTCAGAAATGAGTGATTGGGAAGTGCTAATAACACTCCTTCAACACACTTTATATCATTGGTTTATTTGAAGAATATATTTTAAAAAAAGTGTGTTAATGTAGCATTTTAAGTGTCATGAGAATAAATCAACTGAAATTATGAATTAGGAGGGAAAAATAATTAGGAACATTAGTACTGTTATGCTTATTGAGATTGTTCCGTATGAATAAACCTTCCTAAAAAAAATTGAATTTATGTTTCACATATATCTTCTGCTCCTAAATTGTACACTGGAATATTCATTTTCCTTTTCTTAGAATTGAAATTAACATTATATTTACATTATTTTATTTCTAATAGTGTAGAAAAACAAAGCAAACTAATAAAATGAGAAAACATACAATTTGTGTTTGGTTTTGTTTAGTGTTTTTATTTCAGGTGATATTCTTTCAGTAATAATTATAAAAATGTAATATTTTTATTTTATTGTATTAATACTTACAAAAACATCAAATTTTTTTTTTTATTTTATGTTTATGAAAATCTATGAAAAAATTTAGAAACAATAAAACCTTAACTATCTTTTTTCATTTCATTTACAACATTGTGAAAATAAGAAATATGAAATAAATAATAATGTTTTGCAATTATAAAGGAAAACATATTAATAAAATGAAAATCATAAAAATATAAATTATATGCATTTTTTTAAGTCATACTTATAATTTGGTTCCTGAGTTTACTTTTGATGAATTATATTTTTCATAATAGATAGTACTTAAAATTTTAAATTGATAACTTAATTAGTATCCGTTTGACTATCATACATAATCATTTTTTTCCTATGATAACACATATTTCAATGTAATAAAATATAATTAAAAAAATTTAAAACATAATATAATTACATATAAAGATTTAAAATTAATTTTATTAAAATTAAATTAATCACACATATAAAAGTACTAACTAACTCTTAGATTTTGTTTGGACCACGGAAGAGAAAAGAAAAGGGAGCCACACCTACTTTGGATGTTTTGGAGAGATGGGGCACGTGCAACCTACTAAAAAAAAGTTTCTCATTGGGTTAATTAATATATAATGAAAAATATTATTTTTAAAATAATTTAATTTTTATAATTATTTAATACACTTATTATTTATTCGCCTAAATAAATAAAAAAATTCTTCTTTTTATTGATAAATTGTTTTCTTAATATTTATTATAATTATATTTGCCTATATCTCAGCGGTACATTTAAATAATATATGTTTCAATTCAATTTTTATTTTTTATTTCATCCTTTATCTAAATAAAGTAGGCTTAATATGTTTTTTCTCCCTATAAATATAAGTCTTTTTATTATTAGTATGTACAAATATTTTTGTTAGGAAGTAATTCTTCTAAAGTTAATAATTTAGGAATTAGTCATTGTTGTTAACCTCTCCTCTATTAAGTACTGAGCTGGCTGACATAGAGCCAGTTCAGCAGTCCACGTGGCCATCTTGAAGCCTAGTCACAGTTTACATGGTATTTTACGTCATTTATTATTTTTTATTTAAAATTAAAATTTACAAATAAATCTTTAAACCTATTTTATATAATTGCATAAAAACTCTTATTCTTCCTCATTCATTTCTTCTTCTTCACACCGGCAACAAATTAGTGATAAGTTTGATGGGGTTAAGAGGAGGAAGGGAAGAGATTGGGCCTGTGGGTGTGGGTGTGGGTGTGGGTGTGGGTGTGGGTGGGAGAAAGGAGAGGAGGTGAAAGTGGAGGTGTAGGTGTGAGGAAGAAGAAGGGAATGGGTTGTAGAGGAGTGGCTCCAAGAAGGGGGGAGAAGGAGAAAGATGAGAGAATAAAAAATTGAAATTGTTTGCAAATATAGAAAATATAATGAAGGGTTTTTGCAAAAATTAATTTAAAAAAATAAAAAATAAATGACATGGCATGTCATGTAAAAAGTGATTAGACCGCATGGCGCCACGTCTAGTTTTTAACACTTAATAGAGAAGGAGTTAACGCCAAGAATCAATTCCTAAATTACCAACTTTAGAAGGACCACTTCCAAACAAAAATATTTATAGAAATTAATTACAAAAATATCTATATTTATAAAAAATAAAAACATAATTAAGCCAATAAAGTATTAATTATTTTTCTCAATTCATTTCAACTATGTTAATAGCAATAGCATCGCAGACAGGGCAAGTTAAGTAAGTATATTGTATATACGGCTAAATGTTTACGCTAGAATCATTTAAATATTTTAAAATATTATTTAAATTTATAATAAATCAAACAAATTTAGAATAATAAAATTATGTGTTAACTGTCTAAAAAAATATATTTTTTAAAAATTTAAATTTTTTTTATGCTCTATCAAAATTTAATCATAATTATATTTTTTTTACTAAAGTTAATGTATTTATATGTATAAAGGTTAAATAAAGGATTAGAAGTCTCACCATGCATCTAGGAGGATATTTACATAAACAACTAATATTTTAAAATAAAAAATGCTTAATTTTTGTAAAAATATTTTAAAAAATGTTTAAAAAATTCCCACACATTCAATCACACATATTCATCATAATATCACAGTAATAACACATAACAAATAAAGTCATCCACAAAATTCCTTTACACACTCATTTACATTTTGTTAAAAATTTTTGGGCAAAATTTTCTATTTTTGCTATTTTTTTTAATGATTTTCTTGTTATAATCAATTTATTTAAATATGTCAACTAGATCCATGAAATTTTTATTCAACATAGGAGTTAAAGGTTCTCTTTGACTCAAAAATTAATTAACAAAAAGTATTTCTGATTAATTCATGAATCATATATTTTTTAAATTGATTTTGTTGTCTTTTGGTGGAGTTGTAAGTGTGTATTGATCTTCTCTTACACTTTTTTTTTTGTCTGATTTGAATTTTTTTTTGCCTCTCTAAATTATCTTTAAATTTGTCAAAAAAAATCCCCAAATATTAAAATCTTTTTACTTAGGTTTAGGTAATGTCTTTAGAATTTTTCTTATTTTGTTTTCATAGAAAATAATATGACTGAATGGTAGGTTTATTTTTAATATGTGTTAAATGTAGTCATGTATTTAAAAGAATTTGATTTGACTCTTCTTCACATACGAATACACACACTAATAGATGGATAAAGTTACGTTGGTCTCACGTACATTCAACATAATATATATATATATATATATATATATATCAGGAGTTTGACACTAAATAATTTTATTAATCCTAATTAATATATTTATTGCCGATTAGGGATAAATATTTTATTGGCTTGCTACAATAACATAACACATTCATACAAGAATATTACTTATTATAGACCAAATTATATATGCTGGCCACATTGGATGCAGGTCTAGTGTTTTTTTTTTCCTGGTCTGTTATGGTGCTGCAGATCTACTTATAAATTATCACAAGTATATTGAACATTCTTGATTGCGTCTCTATAACAGTTTTTATGAAAACAAAATTAATTTCAATGTCTTAAAAAATTAATTTTAATTATCACTTTAAAAATATTTAAATATGCGTGCAAAGTTTTCATAATAATTTGAATTAAATTTTTTAAATTATGTTTGAATTTTATGTTTAAAAAAAAAAGAAGAATTAATGAAGTTTAACCATTATTTAGAAGTTAATTAATTAAGAGAAGAAAAGCTAAACCTTTTCTAATTTTAGTTTTTCTACTTATTTTCTATAAGAATTTTTTTTATCACTCTCTTGTGGTCTTTCAAAATTCTAATTCTATTTTTTTAATATTAATTTTTAAAATGAGAATTTTTTTTTAAAATTATAAAAATAAAAATATTAATTTAAAAAATATTTAATTTTTTAAATATATTAATATCATTTATATAATTAAACATCTATATCGTTCTTTTTTACTATTAAACATTCAAATTAAATAAAAAAGTTTACACTCCTTCTCCCATCGAAACATTGAAACAAACTCATTAAGTTATTCATAATTTTGATACCTTGTTAATTTAAGTTATACATGACTCATTCATGTCATTACGTCGTTAAAAAAACTGAGTTTTAAAGAAGTTAACGTGACAGCCAAACTTTTTAATATATAGAAAGATATGATATAACTGGATGGTAATGCAAAATACTTTTACATTAACTGACCATTATAATAAAATCATTAATCTATTGCTATGTAACGAAAAGGGTGATTAAAAATGTATTTTAAGAATACATTTTATAAAATTACTTTACTTAATAATTTTTATCAATTTAATAATTAAATAGCATATAAATAATTGGTTAAGTTTACGTATTAAGTTTGAGATAAATCTAATGTTTCTAAATATGTTATTTTATGATTAATGTTTATTTATATTTAAAAATATATTATATGTTAAAATAAAATTATTTAATGAAGTTTTAATTACTTTTATTTTGTATAATTGTTTTTAGATTTGATCAACTCAATAAAAATTTTAAATTTACTAGTTTGATTAATAAACTTAATATTTATAAAATATTATTAAACAAAATAATTTTAACAAAAATGATTTTTAGAATAACTTGATTTTTGCTTAAAAATTAAATTAATTTTTAAAAGATAAAAATGTTAGCAAGTAGATCCTTAAATATTTAGATGATTAAATTAGTCTTTCAAACATATTTAAATCACTATTGCATTAGTCTTATACAGATTTTATCATTAAATTATTTTTTAAAGATTTAACTTCTCTGTAAATTAGTCTTTTGAAAATTTAAATTCTCAAAATATTCCTTGAAAATATTAAAAAAGAATATTTAAGAATTTAATTTCATGATACATTTAATCTTTTAAAAAATTTAAATACCAACTACTCTTTATATAAGAATAAAATGACAACAAAAATCTTTTGTAATAAAAAAATCAGTGACATTTTTTAATTAAAATATCAATAAAATTTATATTGATAATATTATAATAGAAAAATATTTTACATTTTTTAACTTGTATTTTAAAAACATTAATTATTCTCCTAGGAA